ATCTTCAAACTTTTTCTCTTGTCTTGGGTTGTTTGAATTTCATCTTACACTTTTTGAATGTCTTTTCCTTTTTTATGGTGGGAGGGGAAAAACAGAAGAGGTAGAAGCCACATTTTCTTTGCTTTTGGAGCTAAATCTAATGACAGCTGTACCGACAATTTTCTTCTGTGTTTACATGCAGCCAGGAGCTATGGGCGGAGAAGAGGTAAAAGTATTTACTAAATGTTTTGTTTGCTGAATAGTGGGAGAAATAAATAGTTCTCTTATGATAACATGTTACCAATTTTAACATTATTTGGTTGATCAATTGCTTCGTATAAATCAATCTCATATTCTTCATTTGCAAAACATCTCCCTTTTAATAGCAGCGTAAAGCAATAATGATCTAGAACTGATAACTTCAAGTGTGTTGCTATTACTAGTGAACTGGAGGATGACTGAATGTAAAAACTCTTTCATGACACATCTTTATGACTTTAAATGCATAACGTTCCAAAAAAAGATCACTTTCAGGTTTGTTTTTTTTTCTGGTAGAAGTACCATGTTTAACTAGTGCATCAAACATTTCAAAAATACTTTTTTCTTACTGAATACCTTTCATTGAATATTACACTTGAGCATTACATTGGATTGTCTTAGGTAGAACATTGTGAATACCAATCCTAATAACTGTTCTCAATGGTGAATATTGATAATAATAATAAAAAAGATACAACATTTGAGCACATTTTAACTTTATTTCGTCATAAGCAACCCTTAAATAAAAGCAGACTGAAAACATTTTACAAATGTACAGTGCTGCATATAAGTTTATTCTAAGAGATTAATGAATATGGACAATAGCAAGCTCGCTGACTACAAAGAAAGCTACTAACGTAGCTTACATTTATGTACTGTGATGTAGTTTACACAGACTGGCTTTTATTGAGAAAGTAATGGTGAAGATTGCAGCTTTTAACAATTACAGTTGGGCAGTGCCATCTGCTTGGGGTACTTTGGCATTAAACTTCATTTTATCTTCTTTTTCATGTGTATGTTCCGTGACAGCTATGCATGTGACATCGCTTCCTTTTTTAAATGTAGAATTTGCATCACATTTGAGAAGAAGCTTGGAGACAAACGTAGCCATACAAGCAAGCTAATAGTGTATAAGTAACTTGTAGTTTGCACATATGTGTGGATTGAGGTAATAGGCTGTACAGGCTGTACTAACACAGTTTATAATACAGAATTTGAGCTGGTTTTGTTCAAAGCCAACAGGTTTTAGTGTTTCTTTGATAGCTAAAACAAAAAGATTCAGATTTTCCCCACAAACTTACGCTCCTATTTTTCCCAGCTTCCAGAGAACAGGTTATTGTTAACAGATGTTGAAAGCATCCTAATACTTTTACAGTGTTCTCATGGTAGTAAAACAAATTGGAAAGTATGTGGAGTATATAATACTGTATACTCTCTGTGCATGTGAACACTGTTTAATTTCATTTTGAGATTGTGGCAAGTGTTTGCAGGTTGATCAAATGGCACCAAAGCAGGGAAGGAGGTGGGAATCAGTTGGACACTATTAACTTCTTGCAACTCATGTTTACTTGTAGAAGCAAAATACAGTAATGTGGCAGTAATTGTAATGAATACAGTGTAGGCTGTTTTATACAAATTGTAGTGATGACAAAACTCGGCAAACAAGTTCTGAATGTGCTGGACTTCCAGAATTTATTTTTTTTTTTACTCTACCAAAAAGCATATTTCGCTCCATAATAATTGTTTCCTATGTGAAATTCAGGCTTTTCTGTAGTAAAAGTAGATTTGTGTGTGTGTGTGTGTGTCTTGTCATTAATGTTAGGAATTTTGTGACTTGCCTTATTCATGCAATATTAAAGTCTGTGATATTCATGCTTTTTCATTACCTTGATTTTTATAATGTTGTTTTGAGCTTTCTTAACCTTAAGAAACATGAAATTCTACAATAGTCTGAAATTCTACAGTGATTCTAACACTGTGACTAAGCATCTTCAGTTAGAAGAGGTTCTGTCAGAAATTTCTCGGGGTTTGCCATCAAATCTACTTGATCCTCTGGTCTTTTTGAGTAAAGAGGCGAGCATTTCTCTGTAGGTATCATGCCTAGGGCTGTTGAGTCATGTTCTTTTAGGTACCTTGTTTTTAAGTTTTACAACCAGTTTTTCAGGTACAGATGTAAGCACAGCCATGGGAAATCAGCCCAAAATCTATTCTGCTACACTGACAGCTCAGAGATGCCAGGGAAGGGGCACAGGAGTATTAAAATAGGGCATTTAGTGATCCTTTCCCATAATGCTCTCCTAGAGATTTGCCTCTGGGGGTTTCTTGAGGTGATGTCTCAATGTTTCTCAATATTTATTGCTTCAGAATGGGCTTTTCTCCTGTTCTTGCTCATTCCCTCTTCTGAACCTCCACAAACTTTTTAGCATCCTAAAAAGCCTGTGGCAAGGAGTTGCACAGCCTTGTCATGTACTGGTTGTGTTCAATGCACTTCAGTTTCCCCTTACTGGAAGAAACAGTGAACAATCATTCCATATTCCCTTGTCTGTATGCTTTCCATTATTTTAAATGTATACTTCATACATGTAACTCTATAGTTGATTTAACTATGAAGTTTGAGATCATCTTTTGCATTTACTTAGGATGAGTAGAATGCTTGCAGACTGTCAAGCATCTAGCATAAGATGTGGTATCTTTCTTTGTAAGCTACTGTGCATTTTTATTATTTCCTTCAGAACTCAGCACTTATTCAGCCCCCTCTGTAGACCTGTATTTTAGTTGAATAACTTGTTCTAGTATCTGTTGATTTGATATGTCAATTTCCACTAAGGGCTTGTATTTGTTGTTTGTTTTATGTTTGTTGTTGGTTTTATTTTTTACAAGAAGGTAGGTTAGGAGAGTGGGAAATAAAAGGTTATTTAGCTTCTTAATAATGTCAGTCTCCTATGGATATTTTCAAATTTCCTACTTTTCAATCAGTTTTCTGACTTGATATTTTTACACTATTTAGCCTTCCTAATTATTGTTTGTCATGCGTGTGTTCTCTTTTATGCTGAACTGCATATGTTTTTTTATATATATGCATGACCTGTTTGTCCATTAACAGAATATTCATCAATAGTCTTTCCTGTTTTATGCTCTAAACCCACCATTTCTGACAACCAGTTATACCAGACTTTGAAGAGTAGCATCACGAAATCCTTCTCTGATTGTGGCATTTACCCTGTTTTTTATGTTAGTGCTTAAAAGCACAGTAGGATTTTTGCTTCAGTGGATTTTTGTATCTGTAATCTCTGTCAACGTTATGCATTCAATATATTCTTTCTAATCAAGACTTTTCTAGTGCCTGGTGCTCATAAAAAAATATGAGACTGGTGTTCTGTGTCAGTCAGAACATCTTTCCTGGTTTTTGTTTGTTAGCTTGTTTTCCACATATAGGATTGCTGCTTCTTTTTGTAATCTGTCCTTTACTACTGGAGGCTCTAGTACTGATATTTTCAGTGTGTAAATTTTTCTGACTAGTGTCCCTCTCTGCATGTCTTGATTTTTCTTCTTGCCCCTGTTTTTATTTCCTGTACTTCCCTGTGCTGTTAATACCAGTACGATACTAATTCTTCCTCAGGTATTGCTGAAAGTCAGTGTAATGTGATCCATTATCTTTAAATTTAATTATGTGCCTTGCTATTTATATTTGTAAATAAGCCCCCTATAAACTGTTTGTATCGATTAATTATAATTCCATCCCTGGGAGCAATCCTCCATGATATGAGGGGAAAATTTGCCTTTTCAGAGTTGAGATGGGGTTCCCATTTATACATCTCTCTACATTGCAGGATTTATTTTTCAACTCAGGCATAGGGAATTGCTAAATTCTAAAGTTGGCATGTTCTACAGTGTTGCTTACATATAGACTTTGAATATTTATCTTCTAGGTTAATAAATCTGTTCTTAAGATAACGTGTGTAGACTTTGGTAGTAATAGCAGCAAGTTAATTGCATCAGATGATCACAAATTCTTAACTTTTCATTAACAAACTGAATAGCTTCCATTTTATATTGCTTTTTGTTAATTCATTACTGCTAACAGCTTGACAGGCTGTTCTAGCTAACAACTTTTTTCTTCAAGTGCAAGTTTTTTGTGGCTTATTTAATAAGATTTTAAAGATATTTTTTTTCTTGTTGGTTAAGCTTCTTGCTTCATCTACATGTTTAATATCCACAATACAAAGATTTTCTACGTTTATTTTGCTGTTTGACCCCTGCTCAGACTGGGCCTCCATTCACTCAAGGAGGAAGTGATGCAGCCCTTGCGGTTAGGACCCTGTAAAGCACTCTGAAGGAGACTGTCCTGCTTTGCAATGCAATGGCTTGAGGGATCTGCTCTTTAAGATCATTCCTTCAAGATCCGTTATGGAAGATTTAAATCCCTAAGAATTGTTTGAAATGTAAATCTTACAAAGGTTCTTTCTATAGCTATGACACAATTTCACCAGAAAACTTGTTGGTTTTCATTGCTAGCCATTCACAAGGGTTTGTTTTAAAACTAAATTAGGTTTATTGTCTTGTAAGGATAATATAATCTTGGAAAAATAGAAGCAATACTAATGAACATCATTTGGATAACTGGACTGCTTAGCTGGGCCCTTTAATGCAAATTTTGTTAAAGCAAAACAGTAAAAGGGAAATATAACGTTTTTTACTGAAATATTTAATTCTCCAGGAAATAGCGTTAACTATAGATACTACAAAATCTGTTACAGGTCGGTCTTCAAT